ACAATAGCTTGCGTCTAATAGCATCCGCTGAGGCTGGTTTTGTCAAGGCCCTTATTTGCTTGCTGCGATATTGTACAACGCACCGCACAGAGTATGTACGCCGTACGCAGCATGACAGTGATGATCCTTGACTAGAAGAAATACCCCTGTTCGTGCAGGTCCTTCGTGTGTCTCATATAGAAGCAGCACTAGTAATAGTATTCACTAGGAACATGTGTGATTGTTCTTCGCTACCAGGAAAGCCATCATCGTCAAACCACGGTTTGTGCGGCTTGTCCCTTGCAGGCTTGCCACGTTTTGAGACGAGCGATGGCACATCAGAGCCCCTTCGTTTCGGCATTCCATGAACTGTTTATTATCCATGGAGTACTAGTTGGAAAGGAGCGCGGAACCAACGGACGAGCATACGAGCGCTGGAAACACTCTTGAGCCCACATAATCCGTCCGTTTCGCGGTCCTACACATGCAGGATGCGGATATTAGGTAACTTACCAGATGTACGTATGTACGCCTAGTCGACTAGTCCCTGCATTTGCCAAGTTCTCATTCCTAGAAGCCGGCCGGCAAGCCAGCAAACTTGTACCGAGTTGACCCGCCACGGTTACGAGACAATATCCACCAGTGACTCGGTGGCACCGAGCTGTCCAGGGCATCCACTTACTTGCTCTGGAAGGGATCCATTTGTTCCATTACTGGGCGATGGGCCTGCGGAGCAGTTGATTGCACAGGGTTCAAATGTTCCCATTGTGTTCAATGTTCCTGACAGCTCCGCTACGGGGACAACAAATCTGGCGAGAAGCCGCCACGAGGCACAAGCCTAGACCAAGAAGCTGGCTGTATAATAGCCATGGCAAACACTAAGACGAATCTATCCCCCAGCCGAGGATAGCTTTGTGAATGAGTTGCCCAGATCGTCACTTGTGGACTGGACAGTGAAGCCAGGCTACGGCATGTACCACAATCTTCCGCAACATAAAATTGACAATTATTGTCGTGGTCCCCAAATCGACTGTCACCATGTCTGATAGTCAAAAGAGCGCGGATATCGGTGTTTTGTCCGCTGTTGCTATCAGCAGGGGACTGGTAATGCCGGCCGGCTGAGTGGATAGTTCGTGCGTTGGTTGCGGTGAACGCAGGAGTAAGTGTCTGCACCAAACTCCTAGAGTCCCAAAAACATCCATATGCACCTGTTCTAACATTATAAAGGTAGCATGTATATGTAAAGAAGCAGATTGGAACTGCAAGGGCATGGTGGACTGGGAAGTCTAATTGCCAAGTAATGGATGATGCAGTGGTGCAACCGCCACAGAGTAGCATCTCAACCAACAATGGAGTTTGGGGCCCACGGAATGTTTCCCGATCGACGTCGATTGTGATCTGTGAGTGCGCCCAGTGGTATTGCGCTACGAATGGAGGCCCAGCGCGAGCCCATGGACGTTGTGGTAGTGACCCGAGAGAAGAGGTCGGCCAAGTGACTCTTGACGATGGCGCTGTTTCCGAAACCCAGTGCAGGCGTATGACTCGGGCTTCCGGCTATGCCACATGTTTGCGGTAAGTTAAGGGAACCGGCCGATGCTGACTGGTAGCACTACTCCGTACCAGATTGTAATAGAAATTCATAGGGTCCACTATCCAGTGGTTTGGAGGGTCACATCTCCTGTGATGGATGCTGCTTGTAATATTCATTGCAGGTGGAGGCTGTCATAATCTTGGCGTTGGTGCCAAAGCATGTATAATGTATGGACCCAATATCATCCTCCTTATAGTACCAAGAACTCTGGAGAAGGAGCAAATGCACAGGTGAGTGTAGCGATGGGACACGAGGACACCCCAGACACTTGGAGCACCAGATGCGTAGGAAACTGTTGATCGTGGGGAGGTGAAGGCTGACAATAAAGCTCAATGTTCCTGCCAGGGGTTCACATATATCTTGGTAGGAGAGCGGAGGATGCAGTGACGAACCAATTTCCGGCCAGACAACGAACCCTGGTGTATGAGGTTGAACTTATGTCTGGCGGGTAATCGAATCTCGGAGCCTCATCCATGTCTCAGGTCAGTGGCGGCTGGATAATAAACTACAGTACGGAGCATGTATGGAGTACTGAAAGTCGGTATGAGAAATGTACTGGCAGGTGACTGCTGAGCCACCGTCTCAAATGCAATGCATGAGACGCGGCTGTCTCCTGCGGATGCGGGAGCAAAACACCACGAAAATGTCGAGTTAACCGCCGCTGTTGCCGCCTTGACGTAGCACATAGATCTGCGGTGTGCGAGCCCCGTCAAGTGCGTCTCTTTGTGTGCAAACCAGACGTCACCGCCGTTGTGAAATGAAACGCCCCGTGAATGAAAGGCAGGGTTTCCCCTGATTGCCAGATGGTTGGGCATCATATCGGAAACACTGTATACAGAGTACAGAGTACGGAGTAGCGAACAAGCGAGTGACTCTGTCGCCTGGCTGCCCAGCCAGCCCAGCCTCACGTACACACAGACCAGTGTACGGAGTACGTATGCTGTCAATAGGACAAAGACGCATGGCAGAGTGATCTACATGGACTGATGCAAGTCAGCGGTGTGCAATCCCATGTAAGCTTGTTCTTTGACCACTAGTACTAGTAGATGCATGGCTCTGTGGCTTTTCCTTTGTCCGCCGACCCATCCGCGTAGATATCCAATCTTGTACTATCCCCCTGAGAAGCGACAAGCGATGTCGCGACGCCTGCGAGTCGAGAATCTAACTTTATCCCTGGCCGCGAACTCCGTACGGAAATCGACTGGTCAGGGTATCAATCCATAGTAGGTACTCCGTACTACCTAGGTATGTATCTTGTGCGGGGGCGATGGAGAGTTGGATCCAAGACTATGGAAAGCTTGACGTGCAATAGTATTGAGCGAACATACCGATGGGAGCCTTTGCTTGTTGCAGCCGAGCGCATTTAATTAAGTAGTAACTGAAGTAGAGGCTATTATAGACCAGGGCTAGGAATAGGTCGTACTAGATGAGCTGAACTCGATACCTACTTTATGCATGTACTTGGGAGACTCGGGCAATACATGGCCTTGAAGCCGTGGAAGGCACGATTTGCTGTACATATCTACGGACGTACCTCATCTCCTGGAGTCGGTTCCACCCCACTCAAATGATCTGCGCCTATGCCTATGGGGTGAATGAATATATTGTTCTTTCTGCGACGAGCTCACTTGAAGTGCACGCGTTCACTTGACGCCTCCTTGGTTTAGAAAGTTGTCAATAGAACCCCGCGTGTCTGATCTGAATGAGACTGGTGCTTGCGAGCCTTGAAGCCAGCTACCTACCTAGGTACCTAGGTACTTAAGTACTTAAGGTAATTCAGGAGGTACCCACCTGGTCAGGTACTTGAGGGAGGTTGCTTGGCAGCTGAAATCGCGCACCGCGCCTGGCTTCTGCCAGTACTACTATTAATAAAAACACCACATGTTGATAGGGAAGGAACGACGGCTCGCGTGACACCTGACAGCTTATTGCAAGTAGTACAACACTGTAGTAGTACTATATACTGCCAGGCGAAGTGGCAACGGGAGATGGACATTTCCCATGAACTTTAGAATGTGAGCCTTTCCCCTCTGAACCCTTGATCCTTACTAAGTACTTAAGTACCCTGGCCATGAGACGCCCCTTCTCACTTGGACTCATCACACGAAGTTGGCCCTCGCAGCAAGACTTGGAAAGACCTCATCTCGCATAATGGCGACAAGCTACTCAAGTACTTAAGTAGTTAGCGCAGGTCCCTTTCCGTACTGTGTACTAGTGCTTATTAGTTGGCCTTTCATCCTGGCTGACGTCTCGATACGCCCATCCGGAACCAGCAACCACCCCAGCCTTGGCATTTTATCACCACCACGTCCAAATATTGTATCCGTGTCGATTTGTTCCGCCTTTGCTCGCCGTAGCATGCCATACTCTTCTGCTCTGGTACGTGTTGCAAAGGCCCAAGAGGAGACTGGTATACTCCGTATCGGTTCCTCGTCCAATCCCACCCCGTCGGCTCCGACTTATCGTGCCCATACGCGCTGGTCCCATCCGTCCGATGCTTCCCTCTAACAATACTACAATAACACACAGCACCGTCAATAGTACAATACCACCAGACATTATAGCCTTCTCCACTGCACCCGATGCCGAGAGGTTCCAGAGATCTGCCCTGACTCATTCACTGGCCACCTTGTGCCCACCCTCTGCCAGACAGCCACGGTCCTGGCTGGTCAAATTGCCTCCAACTGAGAGGTCACAGTCGTCATCTGTGGCACCGGCCAACTCAACTGCCTTGTAGGTAGGTGGTTGATGTCACTCGCGGTTGTATCAGTGGCCCATTCGCATCCCCCTCGACGCGGCGTCACGCCCAACCGACTTACACGCTTCGCGCGACGAGGCAGAGAGGAAGGTTGACCGGCGGCCCACCGCGCAACTTTATTGCAAACAGCACCCGTCAACGAAGCGTGCAGTCCAAGTCATGGCAGGATAAATACTCCATACATCTGGGGACGTTTGCCCAGATCTATGCATGGGACTCTTTTCGGCGCATGCCAACCTTGTTGCTCGGATCATAACGACGTGCACTGATATCTGCACGTCACCACCACCACCACGACAAGTATCCATACGTGCTTGGGTATCTGGCCCAGCCGCATCATTGTTCTCTAGTCATACCGCCTGCACCATGTCGCAGCGCTGGGACCATTAATAAACCGCACAAGGAGCCATCCTACCTTCCCTGAACTGCCTTGGACGCACTCCATACCACTCTGCTGCCAGAGGCAGATTCACCGTTTTGCGCCTTGTCTTGCTTTCCGAGCTCTCGTGGCTACCATGCGCCAAACTTGAGGCCAGGGCTCCCTTACCTGACAAGCCGGACACGCTGAAGTTCGAAAATACGAATCGACCGACAAAACAGACCAAGGAACAATACGGCACCGGGGTACCCTTCGAGCAGGAGTGCACGACGGACCTCGAGCTGTCGCCAGCCATGTTGTCCGCCTTGCAATGGTTTCAGAGCGCCAGGGACGAGCGGCAGCCGAGGAGCGTCTCGCCCACGTTGCCTGCGCCGAGTTGCCATGCCACTTCTGGATCCAGCGCCATGGCAAGCGCCAATAGCCCCATGGCCCACGCCAATGCCAACGCCGACGCCACCACCTTGGCCAGCTCCAGCGACCTCGCTGCCTATTCCGCGGCCGTCGCCTCCACCCACGCCAATGCCCACACCCAAGCTGACTCCAAGCCTGGCCTGTCGGCCTTCTCATCAGAGTCGCAGACCCAGCCGCAGTCCCCGTCATTGTCGCCTCAAGCGGAAACTACTCCTCCCGACCTTTTCTTCCCAAGATCTTCCCAAAGCACCCGTGCCACATCCGTCGTTAACGCCAGCGCCTACTCCTCGAGGCCGTCTCCCATCGACACATCCCCTTCAGACACGACTGTTTCTTCCACCTTGACCGACACCACTTCCATCACTAATCCAGACGAAATCACTCACGCCACCGACGACTGCGACGCTTCAACCATGACTTCGGGCGCCCTCGACGCTGGCGCCATGGGCCGCAGCCGGCGGGACTCCTTCGTCAGCGCTGGCCCGAAACCCATTTCCGTGAATAACCAGAACCGAGATAATGTCAACCGCAACCGCCGAGAGTCTCTTGCTGGCAGTCTTATGGGTGGCATGAGCTGGGGTGGCATGTCGTTTGGTAGTTTTGTTCGTGACGAGTAAGTCTGTCCCTGCCATGCGTCCCTGTCCCAAGCATCGACACTTCATTGTTCTGTCGCTTCACAGCAGCGACCTGGTTTCCTTCTATTGCCTCAGTATTTCCGGCATGGGACGTACTGCGGCAACTGGCTACTCGGGATTGCTATTGCGAGTGTTCGACATTGCCTCTCGTGTACCTACCCCCTCACCCTTCATACCATTTATCACGCTCAGGCACCTGTGGTACTTTTTGGACGACGCAAGGAGTGGTGCATCGTACCTTACCTTGATGTTTCAATACTGACACCATCGCGAACTAGTGTTATGATGCAGGGCACTTCGCCTAATCCATTTGGCGGCGGCATTCCTCAGTCCTCTTCGTTTCATTCATCGTCTTACCTTCCAAAGTTGGAAGCCAATTTCATGAGAGACTTCACCTGTTGTGGCAAGATTTTACCCAACCTGCACGACCTACTGCAACATTACGAAGAAGCCCATACTCAGGCCAGCTCCAATAACTCGAGAAATACTGCTTTTACCCAGTTTGGCATGCAAGGCGCCTCCAATATGTCCAGTTCACGGACGACACCGACCGGGTCAAGTCAACCGGGTCCTTCACAACCGACCGGCCAACCACTTTCTCCTGGTTCAGGGCTTTCCATGGGTGGCATTGGGTCCGGCATAAGTGGTGGTCAGATGAATCCTGCTTTGGCTACCAACCTTAATGAGGATATGGAGGCTGTCGCGGATATGGAAATGGACGAAACGATCGGTACTATGGAGCTGGATGACAGCAATAAGATGCACCAGACAAGACAACTATTTGGACAACAGCAGCGACCACAACTTAATATGAATACCTCCGGGCTTACTCAGGGTCTTCGCACTTCCCAGCCACCTACGCCAGCTGCTGCTAGCTTTGGCCTCCAGAACAACCCGACCGTGTCCTCTGTCAACACTCCAACCCTTGCAACTACGCAACAGATGCCTCAGCATCCAAACCAACCAGCTGGAGACATGGATGACATGGACGAGGACCTGCCCGGGATGCCCATGGGTGGCACTGGTTCGACTGATCTCGGCGACGGAAACTTTGCAAACGGCAACGACTCCAACTTCTGCATTAACGATCCCGGCAAGCACCTATTCAGCCCGAATGGCGCTTTCCCCCAAGGCAATCGGAGTATTCAGGCCCAACTTGCTCAGCTCGGCCTGGCCCAGGGTCAATTTGCAGACCCTCAAAGCAACAAAGTTCTCTTGCAAAGGCTTCAAAGTATGATGATGCCCGAGGAACACAAACCGTTTAAATGTCCAGTTATTGGCTGCGAAAAAGCCTACAAGAACCAAAATGGATTAAAGTGGGTGTTTCACTCCAGTGAGGTCACATCTGCGATGTACGGTAGCTAACCTAGATTCTTTTTTAAAACCAGATATCACAAGGCGCACGGCCATCAAACGCAACAGTTGCACGAGAACGGCGACGGAACGTTTTCGATTGTAAACCCAGAAACGAGTGCGCCATACCCAGGAACAATGGGCATGGAAAAAGAAAAGCCCTTCAACTGTGAAACCTGTGGCAAACGCTATAAGAACTTGAACGGACTGAAATATGTGAGTTACTATGAAATCAGCATTTTCAAACTTGGGATGTGTCGTCGTCTAATTGCTTCGTCAGCATAAATCGCACTCCCTGCCTTGTAACCCAGAGTTTAAGCTTCAGGCACTTGCTGCAGGCTTGAGTCTACCAGGTATTGGGGAAGACCAAATGATGCAATAAGAGAGAGGCAGGACCTTCAAACATACTGTGGGAGCCAGCTAGTTGTTGGCTCCCATGCCCGACACCAGCAACGGGAGGAACACCACGTTCATGTGCCATAAAAGACCTCCATGTCAATACGATAGGCAGGGCTTCACCCGCCCTGTACTATTAAACATTGGATCACCGGCACGAGTTCATGTTACCTCCCCCCCCGAAAAGTTATTTTCCGAGCCTCTTCTACACCTATTACGTCATCGTTTTTCTTTACCACCCGCCCTTGGCGCATTGCGACGGCGTTGCAGTATATCCTGATTCTGGTAATTACCGAAGTTCAGGCAGAGTCTGTTTAGATACCCGACTTGATCTTTCTTGGGGTTATATCGACACTTATTACCCCGATTCACCAACGCGGTCTGCTGAGCGCTCTGCCCGCATGGGCAGCCAATTCAGTCTAATAACACCAGAGTGCCTTGTGCTTTTGGGGTGGCCAGTTTTCTTTTCCTGTCGTCTACTAGCACAATGATACCCGGCGGCTACCCCGCCATCTTTGGCGGGAAAATGTTACCGATGAATTATACTGGTTCTCATAACGGCTCACCCCGTCCTCGCCTTCTCTTCCACGTCTGATTCCCATCGTCGAGCGAAATGATGAAGACAAGACAAAAGGCCCGTTGGTGACATGACCGACACAATATAGTGGGGTCTGTCGATGAATTGTTACGAGTTTTATAAAGCAGACGAGAAGGGAGACTCAAATTTGACAAGAGTTCTTCCTCGGTGCTGCTTGTATGATTTTGGAGACATGAAATCACGGAGATTTTTGGTTTTGGGATGCCCTTGCTGGTCTACCCAGTTGTTTATGCGCCTCTGATACGCGTCTCTTTTCTGTGCCTTGTCCTGGTTCCGATATCACCACTCTATATGCGTCGTTGTTCACGGCAAGGCTTCAGCCGCTTCTTTTTAGTCTGTGTTGATTTCATTTGTTGATTATTTATGTTGGCTTTTCATGCAACACCTCGGCAGCTCGCTGGGCTTGTGAATAGGGAAATCTGGAGTTCTACATACACCCCCAACTGCTTGTTATTTGGTAAAAAGTTAAAACTGGATTCTTATAGAGAAAACTGCATGGGGAAAATTGGTTTACTATAACATCGTCTATCAATGAATAGAATGGATGCTGCCACCGGCCCAGTAACTATTCTGTTCACCCTCGACTGTGAATGTGGAGATTCCTGTGACGCTGTAGTATTTGTTGTGAGCATGTTGGAAGAGCATTCAAGCCGTTTCTGAGTTCCATTCGTGGCATGCCAAACGGGACATGAAGGTGCTACCTGTCCTCGCAGGGAGATGGTTGATGCTGTCTAGTATGCACGTCTATTATCAAGTGTGTGCCGACATGTCGCGGTATTTCATGATGTATACGTGACACTGGCACCTTGCTAGGCCTGTGGCTATTGCCTCGTAAAGAGTAGTACATGCTCTCTTTCTGTACTGTCGAGACTATTGGAGTTTGAAACGCACGAAGACCTTGGTAATGGTTTCAAGTCAAGTCTTGCTATGAATAAAAGTCTATTGAACCCGCATAATCAGTCGAACAATGCACAACAAACCATCCCCCAACGCCCAACAATGCACCATCCAAAGCACAAAACGGTCATGTAAAGCAAGTTCCCAGCAACGACAAGGCTGAAAACACAAGTAGCACAGTCTCCGATACCAAGAGTGCTGCTGTTGCCGCCGATATCACTGATACTCTAATGACAGACATTGACGTCATCCACTGGCGTGTTCCCGTAATTTCCGATTCATTATAACTCATTGGCTAGCTCAGTTGCAGGAGCCATCAGTGCATCATGACCATTAGTTGGTTTCCATGCCCTCATCATCGTCGGCATCAGATTCCATCATCTGATGGTTGCTGCTGATGCTCCCCTTTCGGCCACCGTGGCTCCCGTCTCCGTACCTCGCATTCATGCCGCCCCACTCCAAGTCTTCGCCGGCAACTACGCGGCCCTCCATGTCGATTTCTTGTGAAAGCTCAACAAGCGCAGAGCGAGGGAGCCGAAGGAAGCCTTGGGTGCGAACGATGCGCCCCCAGTGAGTCATGCAATACATAGCTGCACGCTTGCGCAGCCACTCCTCACTAGCCAAGCCTGAGCAGTACCAGATGACGCATGCATTTTCGACGTCCATCTCTTTGGCAAGTCGGTTGACACAGAGCAATCTTAGATGAGGGATGTTATAAATGTTGGACATGACTAGAAGACCAGCCACGTCCGAGAGATCTGTCGTGGCGTCACTATCGGCCTCAAGCGTTCCATGGATGCTGTCCGTGTAGAGGTAAAGGAGAAAGGCCTTTACTACCGAGTATGGCTCGGGGATGTGCATTTTTTTGGTATGGAATTCCGCCATTTGGGCGTTGTATAGCCGTGCAAAGTGAGGCCAGCGTGCTTGCAAGATGAGCTTGTGGACATGTATTGGCTGTGATGTTGGGGCATCTGACGCAAGCCAATTTTCGTCCCGTGATGAAGACTTGGAGCGAAACAAGCCAGAGCTGAGAACGTCGTCGTCTTCATAATCTTCAGCAAGTGCAGTGATTATGAAATCTGTGCCACTTCCGGATTCCGGCGGTTGGTTGAAAAGCTTGGCAAGGTCGCCACCTAATCCTTTTGATGGCTGGTCAAATGCCCTTGAATGAGCTAGTGGCCGTGATGCAGCTCGAGGCTCTGGAGTCATATGGTTACCGAGGAAGCCGTATCTTCGCAAATCAATCTCCATGATATCACTGCAATGAAGTTAGTGGCCGGATGGGTTATACTTGGCTCACAACGAGAAGTTCTTACCTGAGATACTCTTCGTATCCATTTGTACCCATATCAGTCGAGGCCAGATCAGTCGGACAACCAAGAAGCCACGCCTTGGTGCCATCCTCATTCATGGTACAGTAGTGCCACCTATATCCAGATTTAAATATTTCTCGGCCCTCGGCTAACTTCTGCCATCTCAGAGTATTCAGATCCAAGACCGACAACGAACACTCTCTTGGACTGATAGTAGCTGCTGGTGTTACAAAATCGAGTAGGGTGCCAGAGGCATACTGATGATAGTGAATTCCAGAGCCTTGAGATGGGAGTGCCTGTCCGAACATGAATTTTACCGCGGATATAGTTCCTGGAGCCATTGGGGCGTAGGTCTTCAACTGAAATGATGGCGGGTTTACCTGCGCAGTTCTTGAGTTTGCAGCATAGCCAGATGAACCAACGACTGGAGCAGGTGCCATTGTGTAAGGTGGGCGAGGAGAACCGCTTGCTCTACTTGCCGCAGAGTTGCGGTCAAACACACCTATGTGCGGTCGAGGATCGAATTCTGGACACCCTTTCAGATCTAACCACCACAGGTCACTGATCTTGTCCATATCCTCGCTCAGACCTCCAAACACCCAAACGCGGTCATTCCAAATATAAGCGGAGTGATCGAACCGGCCGACGAATCGCCATGCCTTGGACCAGGTAAAAGTCCTGAGATCAAGATAGCAGATGTCATCTAGAACATAATTGTTCTGACCGGTAATGCCACCAATGATGAAGAGCTTGTCCTCATGCAAAACGGCGGCGTGTCTGGCTCGGCCTTTGGGAATAGGGCCGAATACTTGTGGCTGAGTCCAGTGAGCAGTTTTGAGGTCGAAGACGATGAGATCGGAGAGGTACGTTCGATGCTCGTTTTCGCCGCCGAAGACTAGGAGCTTGTCGCCTTGATATAAAGTGGCTGTATGGCCTAATGAGATGAGTTAGCTTGGGAATCCGAGGACACAAATCGGCCGGGGCAGTCCCGTACCCATTCTTACGCCAGGAATATCACCGTAGTTGTCGACCAAGCTCCACTGGTGACTTATGAGGTCCAGGCGAAGCACATGGTTATATACTTCATCTGTGTACTGGTCAAATCCGCCAAAGGCATATATTTGATTATTCCCACAGTATGTCACAGATGCATTCACTAAGCAGGCAGGCCGTTGGCCCAAAGTGCGTGTGATTTTTGGACGGTATCCATCCGCGACAGGCCGGGTCCTGGCCGGGGAGTTTGGCATGATGTAGGTGTTGTTCGACGATGAGGCTGCAGAGGTCGGAGTCGGGATTGGGGCAGCATTCATTGATGGCGTTCCTGACAATGTCAAGCTGGTGATAGCAGAATTTGGATGGATTGGGGCCCCGGCATGGGCTGCTGGGCCACCAAAGATGGATGATGCCGGCGCGTGGCCGGGAGTTGAAGGTTGCGCCATGCTCATGGACCTCGCTGACGCCGCTCGATCAAGTCATCTCAGCCGCAAAGAAGGCAACAGACCTGTTAAATAGGTGAGTTTCGATGCTGACGAATGGACAAGAAAGAAACGGGGGATTCGCAAACGAACAATGGGACTGTGAAGGACACACACAACCGGTGAACAGTGATGCCAGAAAGCCGAACGCTTGGACTATCCACAGAGGTGTTCAAGTTGGAAAATGGAGTAGATTCCAGGGCGGCTAATTTTTGCTTGTTGGTCGGAGACTCTTCAACCCCACTATGGAACACTTTGGGCTAGACTTGTGTTTACCCCCTGCTCCTGCCCCAGACAATTACAGGGATATTTGACCGAAAGAGGCGTAGTGCCCAAACTGGCCAGGACTCGGCGCGGAGGTTATATTATCCGTCTCCTGGCTCCCGTTGCCTGGACAGACCTGTAGTGGGGCCCAAAGTAAATAAAAGGAATCGGTGAATGACATCCTCATTACCACTTTTCTTGCTCTACAAACCACGCACATCCTTCATCCGATACCCCTTGACATCATTCTGCTCTCTTATTTTACGAAGCTCTTTTGCTTCGCTAAAGTCAAGTGTATCAAAAACCAAAAAAAAAAAAAAAATCATAGAAAAAAAATTACCAGACAATCAGCCTTGTACAACTCATCAACTTGGAACAACTACAACTCGTCTACTCGATCGTATCACTTGCCGCAGCTCTTCGACCCACCCACCCATTTTGCCAGATCTTCATGAAGGCATAGTTACAGTCATCGGATATCGAATACCGACATAAAAATACGGATTGACCCAGGAACCTTTAGCTAGAGTCTCTTGGAACTCGTCTGAAAACCCGCTGGCAGGTGTCAGTGGATGCACGTAAAGACATCTCCAACGCAGTCAACGCACAATATCGTCTGATATCATGGCTACTGTAACTATATCAACGCCTATCAAATCCCACAAGGGTCTCTTCTCTACCCGTACCGCCGGCGGGCGGATCCCTCTTACCCCCTCCCCTCGACAGTCAGGCAATGGCGTGAACTCGTCACCGTTTACTCCCGACAAGCATACCAAATCGACCTACGGGGGGAACCTCATGGCGCACTTGGCTCGCTCCTCCTCCAAGAATCCCCATCGCGAGTCTCCAAAGTCCAACATTGCCCGTACCGTTTCTACGCCTCGCAAAGCTCTTGAGCTTGGTGTATCTGACTTTACTCTCACTGGAACTGGTCTAAGGACGCCCGGCAGTGCCAAGTCAAGGAAAGCCCCTTTGCGACAAAAGCCCGCCAAGGCCACTATCAACTATGGTGGCGACCGCTTTATTCCTAACAGGGGCGCCAGCTCAGCCATTGCTAATGCCGGTTCCAGCAAGCTGCCGCGAAGTGACCGTCAGCGGCCAAAGACCACCCCAGCAGATAGCTCCTCGGTCCTATCCTCTGCAGCCGATGATGCAGCCGCCGCGCTGGAGGGCCTTAGCATCAATGATGAAGAAGCGGATAACTACTCTCGTCCTTCTCCCAACACTGTTGCCTACCAAGACTCCTTGGCCAGTGCGTGCGGAGTCAAGCTCAACACTCGAATTCTCGAGTTCAAGCCCGCACCCCCCGAGTCATCTAAGCCGATTGATCTTCGTCAACAGTATAACAGACCTCTCAAGCCAAATGGAGCCAGCTCTGCTCAGCTACGACGGCGCATCGCTACTGCCCCTGAGCGTGTTCTTGACGCTCCTGGACTCATTGATGATTATTACCTTAACTTGCTCGACTGGAGTTCTGGAAACCAGGTTGCCATCGGTCTTGAGCGCAGTGTCTATGTCTGGTCTGCTGACGAAGGCAGTGTGAGCTGCCTTTTGGAGAGTCCTGCAGACACTTACGTCAGTAGTGTTAAGTGGTCTGATGATGGTGCCTATGTTGGTGTTGGTCTTGGAAGCGGTGAGGTTCAAATTTGGGATGTTTCCGAGGGACAAAAAATCCGCAGTATGTTTGGCCACGATACCCGTGTTGGTGTCATGGGATGGAGCAAGCATCTGCTCTCTACCGGTGCCCGCAGCGGCCTGGTGTTCAACCACGACGTCCGTATTGCTGAGCACAAGGTTGCTGAGCTCGTCTCACACACTTCCGAGGTTTGCGGCCTGGAATGGCGTTCAGATGGTGCTCAACTCGCTACTGGCGGCAACGACAATCTCGTGTCCATCTGGGATGCCCGTTCGTTGTCTGTTCCCAAGTTCACCAAGACCAACCACAAGGCCGCCGTCAAGGCTCTTGCCTGGTGCCCATGGAACATGAACCTGCTAGCTACTGGCGGTGGTTCTTACGACCGTCATATCCACTTCTGGAACTCCACATCAGGTGCTCGAGTTAACAGCATTGATACAGGCTCTCAGGTGACATCTCTTCGATGGAGCCCTCATTACCGAGAGATTGTCAGCTCCAGCGGCTTCCCAGACAACTCCCTCAGCATCTGGAGCTATCCTACTCTTGTTCGCAACGTCGAGATACCTGCTCATGAGAGTCGTGTTCTTCACAGCTGCCTGAGCCCAGATGGTCAAATGCTGGCCACGGCTGCTGCTGACGAAAGCTTGAAATTTTGGAAGGTGTTTGAGAAGAGAGCCGGCACGACCTCTGGCATCGGTGGCTCTGGAGCCTCCGGCAAGGCTGATATGGCCAAGCATATGACCATTCGGTAAATAGAACGTGACATGAATAGTAACTTGTCAAACGGTAGGTATGAGAGCTGTTTCATTCACTAGTTGACTTTGGCGTGGGTGGTCAAATTGTAAGCGCGGCGCTCTGGAGTTTGTTTTGTACTCTTTTCAGCACGTGGCACGAAAGCGCTTCTCCACGCACGAATGAAGCAGAATGGGAAGGTCTACATACGAGTGACGACTTGACGTTGACGGCGTGTATCTTGGGTTACAAGTGTATATATGAATTTTGGGCAGCAGACAGAGTTTGGTGATGATTAGGGCTTGGACTTGGAAGTTTTAAATTGTAATTGTCTGGTTAGTATGCGGCGCCCTTGTCTGAATGTGCCTGTGGGATCAGCAGTATGAGGTAACACATGATAGCATTTGCCAGTAGTCCATACTTGTATGCTGGCAGTATCGCTGGTTTGGTTGGGTTGGATAGAGGAGCATTTCTACGTCGGGCCGAGTCACTGAGTTCGGTTGCAGGTGCCCTTATGAACGGAGGGGCGTCAGCGACCAAACTCACTACGCATCATCCTATTCAAAGCCCAATCTTGAGTGACCGAGACAGCGCAGCGGTTGCCGCCCTGATGCGACGTAACAAACCTAAGCCCAGCAGGTAAAATGATATATACCAGTATGACATGGCCCCCATCTTCCTGCTCCGTTCAGGCGCACCGGACCAAATGTGTATGGAGCCTGCCTCCAGCGCTAATGAGGGCGACTGATTACTAAGCGCCGGGGGATTGTGGAGGGGCCTAAGTCGTCGAAATCCACCTACCACAGCCATCTCTCACCACTGCACACCACGGGCCAGGATACAGCGAACGGCACCGAAACCCTTGTATCAATTTCGAACATACAGGCAAAAGCACGATAGCCCGCCGTCGCAAACGCAGACGCATAATTATAGGCAACAAGGACCGTGAAGTCTCGGTGATTTGGGCGCCACTGCAAGGCTGGGAGATTTCCATCTGCACTCGACCGCGGCCAGTGACAGACAATCGGCCTTTGTACATTCTCGACACCCCGACGCGGCGAAACAGGTTGCGACTAGTCCTCGACACCACTTGAAGTCGGCGACGGGATTTAGGAGCTGTGCTCAGGTTCACCGGATTCCAGTGTCGTACGGGCACGCTACGGCTGCGACAGAAGGCCATCATGTCGAACCAGGCGGTCGGAACCGTCTACCAGACCATCATCGATGAAGTCATCAACAGTTCGCGGGTGGACTTTGAAGAGAGCGGCGTGGAGGAGAATGTTCTAGAGGAGCTGCGTCAGGTAAGAAGTTGCTCTCCGGCTGTCCGGTTCCCCCTTCAGATGATTTGCTTCGGGGCGGTTGCAGCGAGGATGCACCATGGGAGGCGAACAGCCGCAAGCCCTTTGCGGGAGCCGTGCACCCCGACAGAAGCCATCAATCCGGATTCCGTGGTGGTCCAGGATTTCTCGGATGGAATTGCGAAGCCAGAAGTGCTGCAGCAGAGCGAGTGCGATTGCGCATCCATGGCTGCAGTGGCGGCAGGACGGATGGCAGTCACTCTGGGGACCAAGAAGCGGGCGAGAGGAGGCGGGCAGCCCAGCGCTATATGGGCCTTTTAAGCTCCCCGCCCCCCTGCTCAGCTGTTGGCATCACTGCCTGCTCCGCCTGGTGTGCCTGATCTGGCCGCAACTCTGCCTAGGCACCATCGTCACCATGGCCCCCCCCCAGCAAGTCACGTGCCGCCCCATATCGGGTCCCCAGGTGTCGGAACGGCGTACGGGGACGACTTACACGCTCCCACGACTTGGGTGAATAGTTGAGAGGCGCCGTCTTCTGTTGGGGCCTGCATGAAGATGGCAATGCTGCTGGAATCCCATGAATAGCCCATCCCAGGAAGCTTTTCTGGCTTTATTTATAGACCTGCTCTCGCTATACCCTCCCACCGCAGCCTAATCTGCCATCATCTCTCCCTCATCTCGTCTTGCGGCCGATCGAAACCCCGAGATCTCAGCTTTGTTTGATTGATTTAGCTAACACGCCCTATTAGGGATGGCAACAAAAGCTTTCTCAGCTCGACGTGGCTCGGTTCCCTTGGGATCCGAAGCCTGAGCCACCACCACCTGCTCCAGCACCCGCGGCTCAACCACAGCCCGCTCCCCAGAGCAACACGACCCAGGCGCAGTTCTCACCAATCATATCATTGCCCAATGCTCCAGGTGCCCCCGGAGCTACAGGGCCAAACGGCATCAAGTCTGAGCCCGGCATCGTTAAGCAGGAGGCGAACATCAAGCAAGAACCCGGCACGGCAACAGCCATGCCAGCCTTGCCCAACTACAACGGTCTAGATAAATCCAGCGTTGCGGCTAGCAGAGCTGCCCAGCAGCTCCAGCTTCAGTATGGCATGCGGGCTGCGGGCTCCATCAATGCTATCCAAGGTCAGCAACAGCAACAGCCTCAGCAGCAGCAGCCTCAGCAGCAACAACAACAAGGCCAACAGCCCGCTGCCGGCCAATCAAGTATCTCCAACGGTCAGACCGATGGTCCTGGTGATGTTGACGAGGATTATGAAGGTATTCTGATGCAGCGAAATGCCGAAGGCACTCTCAACGAGCTCGGCCGCGTCGAAATCGACCGCATGCTTCACTCTCAAATTGCAGCCAGGGCAAAGTCCATGGAAGGCGGCGGCCTCATGCTTCCCCTAAAAGAAGCAACCAAACACACTGCTACGTCTGCTTCAAGGAAAAGAAGGGGGATTGTAGGGTACGACGGAGGAGACGATGACGACGACATTGACGACGAAGACGCCATCAACTCCGACCTCGATGATCCTGAGGACGAGCATGATGACGATGAAGTGGATGACGAGGGGCTGGGTCACATTATGCTATGCATGTATGACAAGGTCCAACGAGTCAAGAACAAGTGGTATGTCTTTTTTATTTCGTTGCTCACCCTACAGTACCACACCAACATCTGGGTGTTACATACACGCGGCGACACGAGTCAATGCTGACAGCCTGCAGGAAATGCACTCTGAAGGACGGGGTGCTCACTGTCAATGGCAAGGAATACGTCTTCCACAAAGCAACTGGCGAGTATGAGTGGTAGATTCTGTCCACCCACAACCGTACATATTATCCGCCCACCTGCCGCTGTTATTCCTCTGGGAAACGGTGCGGCAAAGGCGGCTATTCAGAATGACGCATATCGGGGGCTGTCACGACAGGTGAGCCGGAATTGGTGACGATACCTTCACGCCTCAGACGGGATGAAACATGACAAATTTGATACTAGTGGGGGCGTTTCGTTACATTTGTACAGTAGACCTAGTAAATCGAATTGAAAAGGGAAATATTGCCAGCATCTTTAGCGTGTGAAGTGTAGTTGATTGGGAGGGTGTAAGCGCTTTCAACGGACGGACCACCCCTTCTTGACGCTGCAAGGATACGTTTTATCATTTTCTTTTCGCCAACCTTTCACCGGCTACTCGTCACGGTAATCCTACGGTCGAACCAACGTGCATAGGATATATGCACCAGTGGCACCACAACTAGCCGCAACTCCAATCAAGTCTCGCCGATGCCGCTTTTCACGACCCAACAGCCAATACGGAGTACTCCCGCCGCGTTATCACAACACATGTACGATGCGGGGGAAAGGGGGCCATGGCCTGCGCGGCAGAATGACCAATTTGCAGCCGTCGCATACAGACAGATAAGCGCAACAGGCGCCGCTTGTCGCGCTTGAAAGCTCACCGCGTCAGGAAGGCACTTTTGGTAGCAATTAGATGTGCCGTGCAGAAAACGAGCGGTGATGCCTGAAACGGAACACTAGAGGTATCCGTTTGCCCACCGCAATGCTTGTAAGACGAGGGCTGTCCGGATATTGGTCAGGTAGCGGTCCTAATGCGGCTGGGCCATGCGAGCCGAATCGTGTCGTGGCATGCTAGAGGCGAGAACTGGCCGACTTTGAGGCATATCCAGGCCGCACAAGCTGATGTGTAATAATTTTGAACTGACATTTTCGGAGCTGCCAAGCCATGGTGAATGCTTGCGGCCTGCGTTCCGTATCCCCTCCCGTGTTGATTTGCCCACTGGTTTCCCTCGTCTGCATGTGTCATGTGGACAGATGCTAGACTGATGAAAAGAAGGCGTAGGGGGACCGCATGGACGGCCAGCTGGCTTCAACTCTACCCCGTACTCAAGAAGCTGATCCCGTCCCAGCACAAAGTACAGCCACGCAGCTGTACTTTGTGACTGCGTCCGCAATTTCATCCAACTCCTTACACCCCCCACACGTTGTCCCGACAGAACGGTTCAGCCAATGGAAGGCGGCGGGATGTTACACAAAAACTGCCGGTGAGTTGTTTTATCGTCTTAGAAGCGGCCATGCACGAGGAAGAAACGACGACAACGCTTGGACAGCCTTGCTTTCTCAGTTTAAAACCACATTGCCGTCAGCCGTCTGTCGTGTGTCCTTCATTTGCCATTGCTTCCATCCCCGGCTCCCCCTCCCTGTTTCGTCCAGCACTGAAGGGTCATCGGAACCTGCAGTGCGGAGAGAACTGCAGTCCCGGTGACAGGTGATTTGTTTCGATCAGTATTCCCTGCCTGACCATCTTGGCAGACGTCCATCGCCGGCACACAACACGTATGTACGTTTTTCATTGGTGACACACCTTTTCTTCTCTCCTTCCCGCCATAAATTAGTGGTGCAGCGAATTTTGCGTCCGTTAGGCTGGGATTGGGAGTCCTGCCATGGCTGATTCAATCGTCGGGGGGCAACGGAATGAAACATCGGTGTGGTCATCGCAAACGTACATATCTATATGCGTCCGCTCGAAAGGAAAAGGCGGTACAAGGGGTTATGTGCACGCATATCCCCAGTGCAAGGTCGTTAATTCCTTATACCCAGGTGTGTGCCTGAATGGGTTGAATTGCTGTGGGCGTTCCCGTACGTCATCATTGTCGCGTAAGCTCGATATTAGCACGGGAAACGACCTACCCTTGCACGCATAATC